TGCTAAAGATCCTTTATAGGTGACAGCCATGAAAAAGGAAATAGATGCTCTTGAACAAACTAATACTTGGATTTTGACAAATTTACTGAAAACAAGCACTGCATGGGTTTTTAAAATAAAATACAAATCTAATGGTACTATTGAAAGATACAAAGTTGGCCTAGTTTCAAAAGGATACACTCAAGAAGAGGGTATTGACTATTTTGAAACTTTTTCCCTTTTTGAAAAAATAACTATTGTCTGATCTTTAATTGCACTTGCATCAATAAGAATTGGCCTATTCATCAATTTGATGTAAATAATGCGTTTTTACATGGTGATTTAGATGAAGAAGTATATATGAAACCACCTCCTGGTTACTGTAAAACCAGAGATAATAGAGTTTGCAAATTAGTTAAAAGTTTATATGGTTTAAAGCAAGCATCTAGACAGTGGTTTCATAAGCTGACTGAATGCTTAATTGCTTATGGTTTTACTCAATCCATAGCTGATTCTTCTCTGTTTACCTTACGTACTGATTCATATTTCATTGCACTATTAGTATATGTTGATGATATCATTATGGCAAGAGATAATTTAGATGTTATTTCAATTATTAAGAGACATCTTGATGCCTCTTTCACTATTAAAGACCTAGGTACTCAAGTACATTCAAGGCTTAGAATTTGCACATTCCACAATAGGCATTAACATGTGTCAGAGGAAGTATGCATTAGACATCCTCACAGAAACTGGTTTTTTGGGATGCAAACCATCCAATACTCCAATGGATCCCACCCTCAAACTCAAATCTTATTCTGAAAATGATGACTTAACTGAACCAACTGGTTACAGAAAGTTGATTGACAAATTATTATACTTGACCATATCTAGACCAGACATTGCTTACAGTGTTCTGACTTTTTAGTCAGTTTCTCTGTAAGCCAACTGTGCAACATCTTTCGGCTGCTCACAGGATTCTGAGGTACATCAAAGGTACAATTTGACTTTTATTTTCTAGAATATTTGATTTATCTTTGCAAGCATACTGTGACAGTGATTGAGCATCATCCATAGAAACTAAGAAGAACATTATAGGTTTTTTTTATCTTCCTAAGCAAATTATTGATTTCATGGAAATCCAAAAAGCTATCCACCATTAGTAGAATATAGGGTTGTGAAATTCAGTGGCTTCTTTACCTCTTTAATGATTTCAAATTACCACATCCCTCCCCTATTTCATTAATGTCTAATAGCAAATCTGCTATAGCAATTGCCACTAACCCGGTTTTCCATGAGCGTACTAAGTATATACAGATTTGATTGCCATTTAATTCGAGAAAAGGTAGCTCAAGGGGTGATCAAACTACAACATCCACACCAAAGATCAACCCACAGACATCCTCACAAAAACACTACCAGGACCTTCATTTGCATATTTACTCTCCAAGTTTAACATGCATGATATACATGTTAACCTTGCGGGAGGTATTAGCATATATAAACATTAGACTTAGATTTATTGTAAAGTTGCTATTTGATATAGCAACTAGAGGCTCTTATGTATTTTCCATTTATACCCATGTAAACCCTAAGTATATATACCGGACAACAACACATTTTGTACTCACTTTTCATTTTACCCAAACCAATACAAGCAGTCGATTTTTCTTTTCTCTCGGTGTTCATCTTCTTCACCATCTTTCTCTGTAAATTCTTCGATTACCTTTGTAATCTCACATATTATCTTCTGATTTATGTATTGCAGATGGGATGATCATTGCAAATTGTGATGAAATGGGAATCAAGGGAGACAAAGAGCAAACTATTTCTGGATATTGAGAAGTAACTGCTTGTAGTGGATGAAGATTAACTATTTAACTTTTATTTTGTAGTGGTTGCTGAATATCTATGACTTTTTTAGTATTATGTTTCTGTTGGGTTACATTGATTGTATCAACTTACAATTTAGTTGAATTTCTACGAGACTTTAAACCAAGCACACATGCTTTAGCTTAGTTTGACATGAGTATATTTGTTTTTGCGTATTTCATTATTTATTTTATTTTCTGAAGAAAAACTCTCGCTCCTTGTTTGGTTGTTGCGGGAAAAAATGTTTGGGCTAAAAGTAATCTTCAAACACACCTTTTCACATCTCAATTTCTTGATGTGCACTTTAGCAAATTGGGTTAGCAGACAAATTTCAATAACTAGTTGCACCAGAATTCTCATTAGTATATACTAGATGATTGACATATAAGTTTCCATGTAACCATGCAACTAGTGGTAGTAGTATAGAATTACCAAGTTTACAAGAAGATGGAGAGTTCATGAGGGTTACATTTTGCTGTTTTAATTTATTCAGCCCATTTGATTAAGTTTTGAAATTATATTTATACTATGAAATTGGGCTTATTTGTGGTCCATATAAAAAAAACAAAACGTTATTTAGCCTACACTCATCAAATATATATTTATCTTATTCTTTCACAATATATGTCCTAATAATAATTCTCACTTGTACAATAATAAACATTTGTGTATTTTTTTTTTACCTTATTTGTGTAATAATCTATTTTTAATATTTACAGTGAGTGGTTATATATTATGACTTTCTTTTATTTAACAATGATCTATATTCTAAATATTCAATTTTTACAGGATTTTGTAGACCATCTCTTATTAGTGGAGCATCATTTATTCCTCAAGAAAACAACAATCATTTGGGCAAGGTTTCATATCAATATCGAAGTGTGTTGCATACTCCTCAAAGTGTACCATTATCAGACATCACCAATGGTAAACTTTCTTGAAAAATATATTTTAACTTAATTAATTTATTTATTTACATGCATATATTTAATTAAAATATTTTTCTTATGTAGGATTCGAAACAGGGCTATACTTGCGCCGACACTGGAGCCGTAGAATCTGTAAATGCATACATGTCGTTGTTGAATTTGACCGAAGGAGGCACGTACTTAAGCACTGACAGTACGTGTAAGTCCGAGTCCAATACCGACTTTTTGCAAAACTCCATACGCTTGAGTTCTTGAATATTATCAAGTGTTCGGGAACACCAAAACCGGTTCCATTATTTCGGTATAAAACCAAAACCGAACCAAGTTTTCAGTTACTAAACTTTAATCGATTTGATATCGGTTCTGCATTTCGAGGTTCCCTACATTATCAGTTCGGTATCAATATCCGCTTATCAGTTCGTTATTATCAATTATCGATATCCGCTTATCTGTTCGATTACCGAACCGATACTGCCCCTAGTCTGCAGATTTCTGGTTATACTGATATTGATATCCATTTGCGTTGCTATCCTTGATGAAACTTGAATACGGGAATAAATATCACAATTTTTCATTTCCTTTTTAATGTTGTAAACTTTTACCAAGGCAGGTGTTGGAAGAAAAAAAATACACCAATGAAATTTTTTAACGCCAGTTCACTGCTTGTAACTTGTAGGTTCATCTTATAATTTGTAATTTTTTTTTGTAAGCTGAACTTTAATATTGTAAGATGTCTCCATCTTTTAGCCATCTAATAAATTTTCTATAAAATTTCTTACAACAAGCTGATATTCATTTTTTTTTTCATCTTTCAATTCATGTCTGCANTTTTTTTTTTTTTTTTATCTTTCAATTCATGTCTGCACCGTGCATTATGCCACTTTGATTCATTTTGGCCGAGAACATATTTCATAGACTAATAACATCATTATACTGTTAGTGATATCATGTTTGTTTGAGAACCTTGATCACCTTTTAATTAGAATCATATATTCATCTTTTCGAACAACTCGACCGACATATGTCCATATTCTTACCACCTAATCGAAACTTTCGAGTGGGCAGTATATGTTGAGTATATAGACAATATATTTTATGTTTATAGACATTTTATGTTTTGTATATTAAAATATTTTACAGATACATCCTATGTGATTTGTTTCAATGTTTATTTGATGTTTATTCATAATTTATTGATCATGATGTTTTTCAACGTTTATCCATACTAATCTGAAATTTTCATTGTTTATATTGTGCATTTATTTTGATTTTTTTTTTGGTAATAAGTAATTTGTTATAATATGTTTATAAACTATATATATATACTCTTTTTTTAATGGATTTGTTGTGTATATGTATGGTTTATTTTTAGTAAAATTATTTACAAAACATAAAAGTAAAATAAACAATACGTAAACCCACCATATACTAAAACAATATTCAAAAACTGATTTAAAACAAGCATAAACTGACACTAGGTAGATAAAATTGTTACGTAACTAAAAAACGTATCAGGTATATAATGAACTAGAATTCTAACATCACAATTGTGGTTGTATACTGAATATAAACCCTGCAACAATCCATTCACCCTCGTGATGTATGAAAATTATCACGTTCGACGTACTCCATGTAAAAAAAAAAGATACATATACCATTAATAAAAATAATCAATCACGTACGTTTCAATGATCTTTAAAATAAACTACAAAAAATAAAAAGGAATATATAATTTTCGATGGAAAAATATACTTTAATTTATTCTGTCGTCCTCCTTTTTTTTTTGGTCCATTTCGCGTAACTTGTTCTTGAGCAAAGTTCTGATCAACCCGTCTCGTTTTTTCTTTTCTTGTGATGAAGATTAAAATTCAAACTTAAATTTCATATTTTTCCCAAATGTGGGTAAAACCGTTTTATGATTTACATTCCATAGCCAGCCAACAATTTTCTTTTTTTTTTTAGTAACATAACAGAAATCAAGCGCACAAAAGGGGGTGGAAGTTGAAATGATACGGTAACTGACGTTAGACATTAATGTAATTAAATATGGTCTTAGGTAAAGCCACAATTAATTGTAGTTGTATGGTAAGATGCAAATAATTGAAAATCACGTAAGAGACATAATTTTTTTTTCTTAAATTCATTTATGATTCTCTCACTTGGTAGTTTTATTTATTTTAGAACTCTCGCATTTTTGGAATTCTTGATATCTGGTATTTTTCATGGGGTCCATATTGGGGGAGAGTGGAAAAAAGGAGTTGAAGATAAAAGAAAAACATGTTTATCATTGTAGTCCTTCAATGCGAACTCTGCCAGTTTGACAGCATCTTCTTTGGACATTATCTTGGGCTCACTGGGCTCCCTGTATGAAATTTATCACATTTAGTTGGTTACTCATTATTGTGCTACATAACAAACATAAACAAGAGGGCAGGAAAAAGGGGAATTAAGAGGCCACAAAACCAGCACGAAATCCATGAAGAGGATGAACCATGCAAGATATGCCGCAACTCTTACGATCGCGTCACGATCGCCACCTGCACCGCCTCATGTCCTCCGATAATAAATAAGCACCTAGAAATTGAGAGGATGAAGAAATATATACCCACCGAAAGTGAAGATGCCCAACGAAAATTGCCCGCGATAGCACAATTCGGTAACAACCATTGCACATAGAGTCCAATATCGAAGTTCCCATACAGATCTTTCGGCTGAATCCATTGGAAAACTACCTCGCCCTCGATAAATTTGGCGAAAAAAAAAAACGAAANAAAAAAAAAAAAAAAAAAAAATCGAATTGAATTATTTGCTGAATTTCAGCTTGTTACTTTATCTTAGTAGAAAAAGACCAAACGGTACCTCCATTTGACGAACTGTACAATCTTTTACAGTAGAGAACACTGCCTTGAATTTCGTCATGCTGCTTTGCCTGCAAATCGTCCCTCCGGCGCCAGGCCTTCGATGGCGCGCAGATCGTAGCATACGGTGATCAACTTTTCCGCAAACGCTTGGCCACAATCTCAAACCTTCCCATATCTATGCCCTCAGGAAATGTCATCGGGGATGACTTCGCCGGCGGCAAAGTAGACGACGACTTCAATTTCCTGTTCCTCCTACCGGAGACGAAGGCGCCTTCGAGCGAGGGCGCCACTTTGGCAGGCAGTCCAAGAGACGCTAATAGAACAGAAGCTGGAACGGCCGACTGCTTCACCGAGTGTGGCGAGAGCAGTGTGCAGCTGAGTATTGAGAGCGGGGATGGCATGCCGGCGACGGTTGGGAAGTCCGATTATATCCAAAAGGAAAAATAAGGCGAAGAAAATTGCAAACCGATGAACAAGGGCCAATAATTCAATGTTGTTTGGATACAAATTGTTTCAAAAAAATTCCAATCATTAATCATATTTTTTAACTCAATTTTAATTCAACTTCATTATCCTCAGTATAATCAATATAATTAAATAATATTACTCAATCATTCTTACACATTAAGTCAACTTTAATTCACTGTTCACAATTGGTATAATTTTAACTAACCATCACTTCACGTCATCTTCTCTTACTTTTACATCAAATAAATTTTAATTATTTTATTTTAAATATTATTTTAATATAAACTCAAAATCTCACTAACAACTAACCATACAACTTTTTTATAAATGCTCAATAATTGTAATTGAGATACACATTAAGATTTCCTATAATTGAAATTGCACATTAAGAAAATACCAGTCTATGCACTATAATGCTAGACTAAATGAAAATTAGTGTATGTTACACCTAGTATTTTTATTTTTAATAAAGAAAACATATTAGAACATTTTTATTGGTTGACATGTATGCTACACCTAGTATTTTTATTTTTGCATTGCAAAGTTTTTGAGTTTTTTTACTTGGATTTGTCCATGATATTTAAGACTCAAATCCAATTATATGCTACATATGCAAAAAGAGACCCAAAGCATTGTGGGTGCTCTTAGAATGCACATTATCAATTTCGTATTTTATACATCATGTATTTTCAACCGCAAATAATAAAATATTAAAATATTTTTTTATAATACAAATTATAAATTATTTCAACTATTTAGGGTAATCCGGTCAACCAAATATTAATATTAGGTTTTATTTTGTTTGAAACAAGTCATTAAAATGTCTGCAATATAAGTGCACAAAAGTGTTAAACGAATTGCACTCTAATGACCATCAGATTGCATAACATCCAACCAAACTATAAAATTAAATATTGTAGTTCGAAATTTTATATTTCTATTCGATTATTATTATTTTTTACTTTTAAAAACCCGATTAGCGGATATTTTTCAAAAGCTGAAATAATCGAACGACCAAACTATATATTATTTAGTTTTACATATTTTTAATAATAAAATTATTATTATATGTTTTTAGTAAAATATTATTTATTTTCAGCTTAAATGTATTAAAAAATTAAATGATAAAATACTAATTATATTTTATTTAATTACAAATTTCACCCTTGAACTCAATTGTAATTTATCAAAGTTTATAAAATTGCTATTGAATCCTTCTAACTTATCAAATTCTCAAAAAACAAGCCCAACTCTACACACACCCAACAACCTCCCTCCCCACTCTCCCATCGGCGACCAACCTCGGACGACGGACCGACAGTCGTTAGTCGACGGTTGCACCACCACCCACCGCCGCCCACAAAGATGAAGCCACCACTGTCTTCTGGAATTTTTTCCGATATTCTCAGTTCCCGGCAACGTCGAGCACGGCGGTACGACGTCACATAACCAGTCCATGGCCAAAGCTGTTTCTACATGGCTTTCTCGCGTTCGGCTCGGTTGCCCAAAAGAGGAAGCACGTCGACAGTCTGTGGTGGATGACGACGGCAGTGTGGTGACGGAGGCGAATGGCCGATGGGCCTGAAGTTCTGGCGAACGGCTGCGGGTGTTGACGGAGGCAGATGTCAGCGGCAACGGCGATTTGCTACGATCTGGTGGCAATGACTACGATCCGGTATGGAGGCAACAGTAGGCTGAAGCAGATTCCGGTGATGGTCCCTCACTCACGTCTAAAAGTCGTGCGTGGTGTGTGATATGTGTGTTTTATCATTTATGTTTAGTGTGTGAGCGAGAAAGTATTGCAGTGGTGGGGCCTAGAGTTAAATATGTAATGTCTTTTTTGTACATTTGACCATACCATATACACTTATTTACAAAATTATCATTACTAGTTTAACTACCATATTTAAAAGTTGACTTGATCATGACCATTAATATATTTGATCTAATGGTACATATTTATTCTTATTTCTTTCGCTACCTCTTTCTCATCCCAATTATATATATATATATATATATATATATATATATATATATATATAAACTATCTAATTAAACTATAAGTTAGCTTATGGTAATAATATTACCAAGCACACTCCTAAGAAGCCACGGAAATACCACTAGAATGGTGACAATATCAGATAACTTAACCGTGACAATATTACAAAAAAACCTAATTAAAAAGAGTGACATAAGATAACTTACACAGCAAAGACCACTAGAATATCTTTTACACCAGACATTAAAAAGAGTGGCCAACATTAAGCGGGGAACATTAGAGAGGAACTACCACTGCATTCTATTGCTTTATGAACTTTGCTGCCAACGAGGGAATAGTAGGAATACAGTTGAAAGCATGTCGAAAACCAAGCCATGGATGGTAAATGCTTTTCGGGCAGTTAGGACATCCAATATCTGTGCCAAAACCAGTAATAAATTTATTCTTAGTGTTGTGAAGAAGTAAATCAATAAATATTAAAAACAGGCATTTGCATTTTTCATCCACCAAAACCAATTATGCAAGATAAATACTTTACTACCTATGTTGTAGCGCTTTTTCCATTTCCAAAACAACTCTGAAGGGCTGGTGGCTGATAATGACGCAAGCACGTACGTCGTATTATCATCTGATAGATAAAGTTCAGCAAACAAACGAAGTATTTCTTCCTTAGGACCCACCTTCACCTCAAAGTTCATATGCACCCAGCGTTTGGTTTTCACAGTGAAGTCCATCAATGGACCAGAACTCGTAAAACTATTACATTCGAGGGCTCTTTCAATCTTCAACGTTGTTCCCTGGAAACCAGGCAGAGAGTGATTATGAGGTCCATATTGAGGGGGAGTGAAAAAGGGAGTTGAAGGGAAAAGAAAAACATTTTTATCATTGTAGTCCTTCAATGCGAACTCAGCCAGTTTGACAGCATCTTCTTTGGACATTATCTTCGGCTCACTGGGCTCCCTGTATGAAATATAACATTTAGTTGGTTACTCATTATCGTGCTATATAACAAAAATTAACAAGAGGGCAGGAAAAAGGGGAATTACGAGGCCACAAAACCAGCACGAAATCCATGAAGAGGATGAATCACGGAAGATATGTCGCAACTCGGGCAAGCACAATCTACATACAAACGCATTAAGCTAAAAGGCTCAGAACAAAAACTATTGCACTATTATACAACAAATATCCACCCATGATAACGCAATATACATCAATTAAAAATTTCAACTTTTTGTGCCTTGTTGAAACAAGGTTGCGACATTGTGAATCATGTTTATGATAAGGAATACAATTAATAAGGTTGCAAATTTCTAACACACTTTAATTCTTGAAGAATTTTTTGTACAATCAAATTCGCAGAACTAATGTCACTCCACACCATGAACAAATATAGAAAATGATGTCAAGAGTAGGGCTAGGCACAAGACGTGTAAGAAAGCATCAGACCACATAACAGAGAAACCAGCCACCAAATACTCAGTGGCACAAAGATAGTAACACTGACCATCATGGGAAGGGTTCACAAGTGACAGTGTGGTGAGTTCATATTTGTCATTCGTCTTATATAATTCAGCAAACATAAGGAGTGGTTTGTCATTGGGCGGCCTGGCCTCAAAGTTGACATGCCTCCACATAGAGTATTTATCGTCAAAGTTCAACAAGTAACCAGGTCCAAAGAATTCCCTCTCCTTGAAATCCACAAATCTCATGAACTCCAAGTTGGTTCCCTGTAAATTAATGTGTGTGTGTGTGTGTGTGTATATATATATATTAACTTAGTAATGATCAGACAGAGAAATGTAAAATGATGCGGATAAAACACGAACATGTTTCTGATTGTAGCAGGATAATGCGATTTCTGCCGACTGATTTCCTCTAGCAAGGAAGTACTCTTTTGGGTCCGTAGGCATCCGCTGCTTTCTACGAGTTGCAGGCTTCTTGTCCTCCCTATGAAAATATTAGATGAAGCCATTTTCAAATTATCAATTACCTAAGCAAACAAAATCTAGATGACAAACCACGGTCTTGCAAAGGATAATCAACATCTAACGAGAAGCAATTAAAAGTTAATACAAGGACAAATAATATTGAAATGTATTTGCAAGTAAAGGACCTAAAATTACATTAAGAAAGAGATAGAAATTAATACCTTGAAGAAGTTACCTCCCCACCACCAAATCGGTCTACTTTGAATTTCTTTCTGCTACTTCGGCGCAATGGAACAGTTCCCTAGAAATTAAGCAACATGAGACTATGTTACGAATGATCATCGATAAGTGATATATTACAAAGGAAGAGTTTGCTACCTCATTGGGGTTCAAACGAGACTCTTCGTAGGCTGATGACCATCCCTTTATGGGAACTGAAAATTTTCCGTACTTACTGCATTCACAACGTTTACCAACAACCACCGGTATCAGAATTGCAAGAAATAAAACAAATTGCAAATACAACAAATATGTAAAACAGATATAATCAGAAAATGATATGCAACAATTTAACAGGTCATGGACAAAGTAGCTTGAGAGGACCCAATTAATCGTGAATTAAGAAGAACACATACTACAGATATAATCAAATGAAAAAGAATGAGAAGATCATAGCAGAGGCCTCAGATCTCACTCACTGAATCCATTTCCGTTTGCGAGCCTTGGTCACCGCCATCGGTACAAACAAAAGAATGCTCACAGATAATATAGCAGCCTAGTTCCTGTCGAATCAACAAGTTATCACATAGTGATTTCAACAATTAAGACAACAAAATATTTTTGGTAAATAATTTTTTTCAACCTGTACGTAAAAGTATTTTTTGTTCTAAAATGCAACCTGAACTACATATATACAATTATTTGCATGCTCGACTACTTTTTGGCCGTCGGATCATCTACAAAAAAGGACACGTATATGGTCAAGATATGGTCGAGCGTGCAAATAGTGATTGTATATGTAGTTCATGTTGCATTTTACAACAAAAAATACTTTAGGTTGAAAATCCCAAAAGCACGTCTAGTACAGGTTGGAAAAAATTATTTACTCAAAGATTTTTTTACCAACAAAAAAAAATGAAGTGGACAAAAAAATAAAAAAAAAAGAGTGTCGACCAAAATAAAAAGCACGTATTCAGTGAATACGTTTTCAATTGTAAATCGTATTCACGTAATACGTTTTCAGTTAAAACACATATTTACCGAATACGTTTTGCTAAAAAATAATTTGTTAACTTAATCAACGTAATTAACTTAATTAAAATTTAAAAAAACGTATTGGGTAAATACGTGTTACAGAAAAAAAATTAAATACGTATTATATAAATACATGTTTCATTTAAAATTAGTTTTATATATATTTTTTATTATAAAACGTATTTATGAAATGCATTTTAAAAATAAAATTAATTTTTACAAGTCTTAAAAATAATTTTTCTCAGAAAAAATTTTCGAAATATAAAACGTAATTTAAAAATACGGTTTTTATGTAATTTTGCCCCGAATTGATTTTTGGTGCCCTAATTTTAGCCCCAAATTGATTTTGCCCTAAATTTCCTAGGTAAACGTATTCATGAAATACAGTTTTATCATAAATCCTGCTACCAGTCAAATATACATGTTCACAACCAAATACACCTGTTCGATATCAACATATACCTGTTCACAACCAAATACACCTGTTCGATATCAACATATTCGCCCAATAATAATCCAACATACCATACAAACAAACAAATGAAACACAATAATTTGTCGAACAAACAATATATACAAAACGATATAATTCGGTTTATACAAGCAATCCAACAATTCAAAATAAACACAAAATCCACGAATTCAACACAACTAACTAGGAAGGAGTGTATGGTTTTGTAGGCTTGCGCGGTCTGGACTCCCTCCGAGTATATACCATGTGAGAAGAAGACGAATGTTGAGGTGTGAGAAGCGTGTCAGTTTGAAAAGCCTGCTCATTTTCATCTTCTTCATTTGAATAATTCAATTGAAAAAAGAAATCATAAAAAAAATTGTTAATTTAAAAATCTCACCTTGTTGAGGCTCGGGCTGCTCAGGTTGGAGGTGCTGGGCGGATGGCTGAGCGCGGGGACGGAACCGAGGTCTTCTACCCCCACCAATGTTGGGGGCGGGTTGATGTTTGGCCGTGTGCGACTGTGTCCTCATGGGGGGAATGTATTCGTCCTCAGGGTGTCCCCATGTGGAACACCCTGGCCCCCAACAGTCAGAGAAGAGAAGGCAAAAGTTGTACGACTGTTGGAAGTCGGTCTGCGCTTCTGGAGGGATTTGAGGCATTAATGGTTGAATGTCAGATAATGCGCCATAAACCCCTTGTAGTGCAGAAGTCTGTAAATAAAATTCATAATAATTAGTATGAAACACACGAAAATAATAATAATAATAATAATAATAATAATAATAATAATAATAATAATAATAAACACAAATAATGAACACTTACCTGACAGCCTAACCGCTCGGCAAGTGGCTGATACCCGCCCGTCTGTTGGAACACCGGGTAATTGGCAGGGTTATTGATGAATCTCACAGTCCTGTTGTGAAACCATTCAATGTAACCCTGCTCCGGCTGCAGATAGTCGTGCACGAGAACAACTGGGAGGAGACGTTGTTCTATTTCTTCGGTCCACGAGCTCAGAAACGGCACATGGAATGCAACCCAATCATAAAACGCCCTCGCAGTCATCCCCTGACCCTTGTGGTGTGTGTCCCAGTCTCGTTCATCCAGAATGATCGGATCTTGGGGGATGGACTGGCGACACCCAAATTGACGGAGGACCCTGTCAGGCAGGTGTACCTCCCGGATGTTCCAACTGAAAATCCACCCCCGGTACATCCAAAATTGTGGATCTCTTGAGCACGCCTCCGGGAGAGTATCATCCTCCAGGTGTTGTCGATAAGGCTGCCAATCGAACTGTAAAAAAAATAACAATTGAATTAATAATTAAGTTATTACACAATTATAAACAAAAAAAGAAAGGTAAATCACGTAATAGGAATTAAGAATATTACATCATACTCTCCCAGCCCTGTCAACTGATCCCGGTAGGCGACCAATGTATTGGCTATGTTGGACCTCTTTTTCGGTCCCATCCACCTTAAAAATCAAAGAAAAAAAAAGTTTGAAATCACAAAATTTGATAATGAAAATAATGTACGGATTAAATAAAAATAAAGATTACCTCGCTCCTAATGGACAATCAGGTGGCGAATACGAAGGATATGCTCCCATGCCCAAACCTACACAAATGGACATTAATTTTGTTATTAGGTATTAGTCGAAATAAGAAAAAATAAAATATTAAATTTTCAAATAACAATTAAATAAATTTACCTGGATCAATTGAATGCAATGCTTCATCCACTTCTCCTTGGCCTTGTACGAGGTTGACAAGGCTCTGTATACTCCGGCCAGTAGAGCTGAACCCCAGCTGTACCCATTAACAACATCTATGTCCTGCAGCAGGTCGAGCCAGTAAAGTGGGACGCCATTCGCCCGCTGGTCGGGGAATATGAAGGACCCAATGCACCAGAAGATAAGGGTGTTAGTGTTATATACTGAAAGCTTGGCTTTGCATGATATTGCACATTTACCCTTTATGAATGAGAATCATGTTAGATTAAACAAGTTCTACGTTCTGTTGTTCTGCACTTAGATAGGGTGGGTCGTCATCGGGCGAACCGAAGATCACTCTATCAGTTACTTGCGAACAAGAATAGTTGTTCACAACCTAGATGGACATGAACACCCCATCCGAACGGTTGTAGTGTCAACTGTACAGTTTGTCTTGACTGATTAGTTGCACTAGTACATTTATGTATTGAACAGGATCCCAGAGAGGAGAAGTTCATTTTATACTGATCGTCGTAAATGAACTAGGCCTCGGTTAATTACTGCGTTCTCTTAACCCGTAAGATATTAAACAGGCAGATATATATAATATATATTACTTTGATTCACATGGGTGAGGTTCAGTTCGCTGGATTAATATTCCTACTGTTTTGGGTAATATTATTATATATAGGATGTGCTGTTAGGATATTTACGGTCACCATGTGCGTTAGTTTGATGATGTCCCCGGAGTGAGTTCATGAAGGATTGTTATGCTAAACCCTGCAGGTGGATTAAATTCCGGCATAATAAGAATGTGATGAACGAGCGCTAGCTTCGGTGAAATAATAATAAATTAATTAATTCTTGATTGTCAGTAATCGAATTAATTAATGGACATTATATCTTAAACGTGGGGAGGTAAATCGAGTAATTATTATTGGAGTCTCAAATGTAATTTGGGCTAGGGAAAGGGAGTGCAATAATATAATGTTGGTGGCCCATTAATATTATTTAATTAATTAGAGGAGTGGGTTTGGCCCACAGTTAGTCTAATTAATTAAGGAGCCCTTTTCCTAATCTCCTTAGGGTCCCTACTGTAGCTCTATATATACATCATTAAGCTCATGAGAAGAGAATAGAAGTCTCATTCTCACGTGAAACCATCTCTCTCTCTAGATCTCATTCGAGCTTTATCTTCTTCTTGTTGCTCCACTGGTACAAGTTGAAGAAGGGTGTATTGAGTAATACAGTAGAAGATCTGTAGGTAAACCGAGACGAAATATATTTTGACCTACAGAACTAACCGGAAGTCCGATTGAGACGTACAGTATACCCAGACGGCCGTCTCGACGAGAGCTTTCCATCGCCGCCGACGTTGCCGGATTCCGACGCCGCACGCGCCTTCACGCGCCGCCGGAAGGAGCCTGACTGCAAAAACTCGTTTTGATCTGTTTGCATCCGTTTGATCCGATTTTGATCTGATCTTGTTCGTGCAACCAAAGACGTGATTTGCGGTCAATCAATTGTGGTCAACCGTTCGTGGTCAGCCAGATCTACATAAATTTTAAGCCGTAAGTTCTCTATGTCAAACCTTTAGATCCGCTGCGCATAAGTTTACGTTTGCTATTGAATTCGTGATTTGTACATAACGAGATCCTCACAGATCCCAACAAAGGGCCCTCGCCCTCTACTCGTACACGATGTCCGGTTGCCCTTCTTGCAACACACGGTTGCATTCCTCCTCTAACCCTCCATCATTCAGATACTGGCCTTTAATGTCCCAAGACTTTGGATCTTGGGCTGCTTGCTCTTCCTTGGTGGTGGGAGGATCCTGAAAGTGATTTTTCCATATTAAAAACGATAAAATTGAGTTGACATATATTTAAAAAAAAATCTATGAAAAAATATACCTGAACATAGGGCTCGTACCCTAGCAAGTCCTTGCACCTCTCTTGCCATTGTAGGGGTGATAGATCTCTAGTCACTCCCACAACAGCAGCTCCAATGATTGGCAGACCGTACAAGACTTGTATGTCCTAGAGCGTGATGGTGGCCTCGCCGAAATCGAAATGGAAGGTATTCGTCTCTGGGCGCCACCTCTCCACGAGAGCAGTAATAAGGCTGTTGTCGGCTTGGACTCGACCCATTCGAAACAAGGGTCCAAAACCAGTCCGGTCGATGACCTCCCAAACCGACCGTGGTTGGCTTGACAAATCCTCCCATAATTGACTGTCGAAACGGCGGTTTGTGAGCGCCATGTCACGAGCTCCCGGCGCATTACTAAATACCCCCTGTGACCGGTGGCGATACTGGAGATATAGAAGAGTGCCATCCCTCGGACCGGGATGGAC